GAAACTGAAATGGGAGAATCCTCAAGTATAATGCTGGTCTGAAGCAGTGGCAGACTGTCCCCAGGACTGCTTGGAATCTGTACTAGGTTCTACTGAGCACTTGAACACAGCCACCACAGTCATAGATTTCACTAGCAAATCAGTAGAGGGCTGTATATTAAAGTCTGTTCCTAACTGTAAACCTTGGATTAACCAGAAAGTCCACTCCCTACTGAAGATCAGACATGTAGCATTCAAGTCAGGTGACCTGGACCAACTTTTTTAAAAAAAAGACTAGATAGGACCTCTAACAAGCCATCACGGATGTTAAGTGGTAGTACCAGCCCAACCTGCCACCTTATAGACACTGGGATTAAAAAATGAAGCAGTGCTAGACAGTAGATTTGACATATCCCTCCCTAACATTCTCAATGCTTTTAATGCTTGGTTTGAGTAGAATGCCAGTGGCATGGTCATGCCTGCTCCAGCAGCCCCAGATACCGGTCTCTCTGTCACCACTTCAGAGTCAGATTGACCTTCTCCAGAGTCAACCAAAGGAAAGCAATGGGCCTAGACTGTCCTTGGCTGAGCAATTGGATCCTCTGCAGACCAACTGGTGGAGGTACTCCCCTGACATCTTTAACTCTCTTCTCTTTCGTTTCCCCTCCCCTCCCCACCCCCCCCCACAAGACCACCACTGTTCCTGTAGCTAAAGCACATGCACCATGACTGAACCACTGGCTCTGACCTTAATCATGGAGTGCTTACACTGATTATGGTCCATGTTAACTCCATCCTCTACAGTTTGCCTTCTGTAGTAACAGCTCCACAGAGCACTGTCCCTAGCTCTGCCCACCACAGTAACAGGCCCGCAGAGCACAGTGTCCCTAGCTCTGCCCACCACAGTAACAGGCCCACAGAGCACAGTGTCCCTAGCTCTGCACTGATCCCTGGAACATCTAGACAGCAGGACACCTGGCAGACTCCTGCTTCTTGACTAACTACAGCTCCACCTTCAATACCATTTTCCCTCCACACTGATCTCAAAACTGCATGACCTTGGTCTCAGCTCTGCCCTCTGGACCTGGATCCTCAGCTTTCTGACCCACACTTCGCAACAATAACACTAGAGTCCCCTTCTTTTCTTTCCCCCCCACCCCCTGTACTCCATTTAAACCCACAGCTGTTGGTACATTTCAAATGAATGCCATCAAGTTTACTGATCCCACCACCATAGTGAAATGGATATCTAATAATGAGTCAAACTAAAGGAAGGAGAGAAAGGGCTTGCTGATGTGGTGGAATGAAAATGATCTGTCTCCTGGTGTTAGCAAAACTAAAGAACTGATCCTTTCAGAATGGAGAAGCCTCTCATCCCCAAAAAAAAACATCAGGGAGATGAGCATAAAGTTCTGCTCTTTGTTGTCTTCACTCTGTCCTGGTTCGCTCTGTCCTGGACTTCCCATGTAGCTACATCAATTAAGGCACATTATGCCTCTCCTTTCTCAGGTAGCTTAGAAAATTTGGCATCACCGACATCTACAAATGCACCTCAACCCTATGCTGTCAATAATGCATAACAGCTTAGCATGGCAACTGCTCTGCTCGGGTCAGTACGGAACTACAGAAGGATGGTGTGCATAGCCCAGACCATCAGGGAGATCAACCTTCCATCTATGGACTCCATTTATACGGCTCACTGCTGCGTAAAGGCTGCCAACTTCAAAGATTGGTAATCTCCAGTAAACCCTGGCTGAGGGAAGATGCCTGAACACACACGAGCAGGTTCAGAACAGCCAGGAGGCAGTTCATCAGACTGAATGGCCTCCCTAGCCTCAAATAACACTGATCTTGCTAACCTTGATATCACCTAGTGTACGTAATGTGCAGTGTAACCTGTATGCCCCTCAGTCTTTCTTGATCTGTACATCCTTTTGCTTATTTTCTATGGAATTCGCTACCGGGAAGGATGTGGAGGCCAGGTCATTGAGCATATTTAAGACAGAAATAGCTAGGTTTTTGATTGTCAAGTGGATCAAGGGTTACGGTGACAAAGCGGGAGAAAGGGGTTGAGAAACTTGTCAGCCGTGATTGAATGGCCTAATGTCTGCTGCTATGTCTAATGGCCTAATATTCAAGCTTGATACCTTTCAGGACAAAGCAGCCCACTTGGTTGATCCACAAGCATCTACTCCCTCCACCGCTGACGCTTAGTCGCAGCAGTGTGTACTATTTACAATTGTGCATTGCAGAAATTCACCAAAGATCCTTAGACAGCACCCTGCAAACTCTCAACCACTTGTGTTTAGAAGAACAAGGGCAGCGGATCCATGGCAACACGGAACACCCTACACATTCCCCTCCAAGCTCCTCACGGCCCTGACTTGGAAATAGATTATCATTCCTTCACTGTCACTGGGGCAAAATCCTGGAATTCCCTCCCTAATGGCATTGTCCATCAACCCACAGTCGGTGGACTGTGATGGTTCAAGAAAGCAGCTCAAGGGCAACTAGGGATGGGCAATAAATGCTGGCCAGCCAGCAACACCCCCATCTCACAAATGAACAGAACAAAATTCCAAATGTAGTCGAATTAAAGTTCTGTGCAGCTGCCACAAGAGTCACTAGTTTTTAAACTTGATGCCCTAACTGAAGGCAAGCATGCCATACGCTGCCTTCATCACAATATGCAATTATGTTGCCACTTTCAGGAATTGTAAATGTGTATGCCGAGATCCTCTGCTTCTAAGGGCGCTGCCGTTTACTGTATACTTCCCTCCTGCATTAGACCTTCCAAAGTGCATCATCTCGCATTTGTTCAGATTACTATTTGCAGCACCCCCAAACTTTGTGTGTTCTGAAACCTGCTAATCAAACCATCTACATTCTTCTCTAAATCGTTATTTATATTTTGCAAATAGAGGGCCCGGCACTGATCCCTGTGGTACATCAGTGATTGCAAATCTCCTGTCTAATAAACACTTTCTCTACTACTGTCTTCTGTGACTAAGCCAATTCTGCATCCATCTTACCAGCTCACAGTTGCAAACTAGAAAGAAACTTGGATGCTAAGTGAAAAGAGGTTGGGTGGTGTCTAGAATCTCATGGTGATGGGAATCCACAATTTTTAGTACAGGTTCTTTCTGTTTGCAAACCATTGGTCCCTGCACATTAATATATGCAACCTCCAAACTGCACGTCTGACTGTCTTAAATTGGTTCAGTGTAATTATTTGCACGTCCTGCATTGTCAGCAAAGGTTTGAGCAGTAGATGAAACTAGCTACTACCATTCATTAGCAACACAAGTGGTGCCTTCCAGTAGGCTACTACGGTAAAGCCAATAAGGTGCACTCTTAACATTCCAAGACTGCAAATTGTACCAAATAGCATTCCTTTGGCTATTTACAACATTGAGGTTTCTGACCATAGTCAATCCGCCTGTGCTTGGGAAAGCCGTCCAAAATTGTAATGTGATTGTACAAATGGATAACATTTACTGGATAATACTGTGTGCTAAGAATTAGGTGGATACCCAATTGGGGCTCAGTCAGGCTTGTGGTGTGGCAGATTTACATGTACAGGAAGCTACATTAATACATCTTAAACTCGTGGCTGCTAGTGTGATTTTTAAATATCTGGAGAAATGAAGAATGTAAGGAGCATGAATAGAGTACTTGGCCCTTCAGATCTGTATCCTATTCAATAAGATCATAGCTGGTCATTTACCTCAACTCAACTTTACTGCTTAATTCCCATATCCATTAATATTTTCAACAACTGAGCATCCACAACCCTTTGTAATAATATGTTGTCTATCATACATGTTGTTATATCCAGTACCTTAACATTCTTCCTGCACCCGGAATTGTGTATTGTTAAGCCTGTCCAAATCATATCTCCATGAAAGTGCCTTCTCTCAACTCCAGAGAATATGGAGCTATTCTACATTTTTGTTTATCCGAACCTTATTTGTGCTCACTTTTAAGACATACAGGATTCTTCAGATACCGAATCTAAAATTTTCAATGATTATACAAGGCAAAGCCTTCCAGAACAATTTGAACAAATACTGTGGGTGCTACAAATCTGAAATAAAAGCAACATGCAGGAATATCTCAACAGGTCCAGCAACTTCAGTGGAGCTAGAAATGGTTAGCATTTTGAGTCCAAAAGATTCTTCTTAATTCTCAATATTAGTGTCTGTAGAAAGAGAATCAGTGTTATCAGAGCAGCTGAGTTACTCCAGCACTTTTTTTATTTTTATTCCCTACAGAACAAGGGAGTATTTGTGGGCATTCTTGTCTGAGGGCCTAAAAATATGGGCAATCTAATTACGTTGGTCTTCATTGGTATAGGAAGCCAGTGCATTATTCTAGTCTCACATCTATAAAGCACTTTTTCTTTGATAAGCGAAGTAACTAAGATTAAATTTTATTTCTGGTGATGTTTTAAAGCAGGCTGGATAACTATCCAGCAATATAAGCATAGTACCATCGCCTTGTGTATATTCTATAGTGAGCTGTTAACGTAGCATGGATCCAACTGTCGTTCGAACCCAAGCAAAATAGTGAAATTTTCTAGAATTGGTCTGTTCTGTTTGTTCAGTCATGCTTCTTCATAGTACTGCTGCTTTTCTTGGCCTTCAGATTGCAGGAGATATCTGTACACTCTTTAATTTGTCTTTATGCTAGATTAACTTTCTGGCCCAGGTGCTGAACTTGAACTTAATCAGTTTAACTTCAGAAGCTGGCATTGGTCAATGTTTCCTTGAGGTTTGCTTTCTGTGAGCTGCATGTGGCTGCACAGCAACTTAGAAGTTACCAGGAAAGTTGCTCAAGTCCTTCCTTGATGATGACACATGGGGTGAGGGAATAAACAACAAGTATTGTGTGTTGAAGTGATTAGGTTGCAGACAAAACAGACGGAATGTTGCCTGCAAACCTGAAAAGATTGAAGGGAATTCCAAGTTACGGGACAAAATTAGTGAAGTGGAAGCTTGTTAATAACACGTTTTGTTTCTCTCTCCTTCTTTCCTAAAGGATAGAGAGCTATTCCTGCAAAATGGCAGGGGATGACAAGCAGATGTTTAAACAGTTCTGCCAAGATGGACAGCCCCATGTCCTGGAAGCCCTTTCCCCACCTCAGACTACTGGAATTAGTCCAAACAGGTGAGTAAAATATTCAAGAGAAATCCCTTTTTATAAATATCAAGAAAGCTTCAATACACAAGACTTATTTTCTTTTTTTCCCCATCCATGTGTATGTATTGTTTGAGCTGCTTCCAGGTTAAGTTCAATGGTCACTAATCTCTCCTGCTGTTCAATTTAAAAGTTTAAAAACTGAGTATGCCGGGGTCTTGAGGTGCAGTGGTAGCATCCCTACCTCTGAGCCAGAGGATCCAGGTTCAAGTTCCACCAGCCCTGAAGATGTCACAGCAAGCCTGACCGGGTTGATTTAAAATAACAACGCCTTGTGCAACTTGATAGAGATGAGGTTATAGTGGGATTATAGAGTATGGGTAATCATTATTGAACATGGCTATCTTTTTGTCACTAGCTTCAGCTGCCAGATATTTTAGCACAGATTCTCTTGCTTCTTAGCAAGATTAACTTGACCTAACCTGGGTGATTAGAGCGATTGTCATCATGTGCCCTGGGTGCAATAGTGTAGAATGTTACCTGGATGCTTGGTTCTTTTTCCATACCAAAGGTTGGTGAAGAACCCACAAGTTTCCCAATAACTTTTGCTGCCTGTCCTGTATTTTAGGTTGAGTAAGAGCCAAAGTGGTGATGAAGGAGAGGGACCACTCTGTGACAAGTGTAGCCGCAAGACACTCTTCTACCTGATTGCTACACTCAATGCATCATTCCGCCCGGATTATGACTTCAGCACAGCTAAAAGCCACGAGTTCAGCAAAGAGCCCAGTTTGAACTGGGTAAGTTGATGCAACAGTACTGATTTTGGAATTCAGTTTGAAAATTATGGTAGCCAAAGATCAGTAGCTTGCGTATAGTTCAGTATATTGCAGTGTTAACTTCTTTTCCCCCCTTTCCTGTGGAGTTCTTGTCTAATGTTTGACAATCGCTAGTCAGGTATATGGTATGCTGACCACTAGGCTGTGGTTATGAGGGAAGTGCATTAGGAAGGCTTAAGTTTTTTTTGTCACAGCATCAATAACAAAGCTGTTCAGTGGTTCCTCAGCCACTTTGTGACAGAAATTTGCCATCCGGTTTACTCAATTTACTCAGTGGCATTGACAAAACCACCTTTAAATATATGGAATGATATTGGAAGTCACACGCCACCATCTTATAGTCCAACAGGTTTGTTTGAAATCACAAGCATTTGATTGTGATTTCAAATAAACCTGTTGGACTATAACGTGCTGTCATCTGACTTCCAACTTTGTCCACCCCAGACCAACAACGGCACCTCCACATCATATTGAATGTGAATGATGGCATAATCATAATCTTGAGAGAATTCCAAAGTTTCGTAATCATTTGATTGAAAAAAATTCCTGTCTTGATCCTAAATGGTTGCCTTTATCCTGGTGTCTCTTCCTTTTAGATTCTTCAGCTAGAGAAAATCATGTCTCAGTATCCATCTTGTCAAGCCATTTCAAAACTTTAATTATTTGTTTCAGTTTCAATGATATCATCTGTCATTCTTCTAAGTAGCCACAAATATAAACCCAGATTACTCTTTACCATAGGAAAGACCAATCTAGTGAATTTTCACTGTATTGTCTCCAATGCAGCTGACTCCATTGTTAAATATGGAGACCAAAGTATTCCAGGTGTGACCTCAAAGTTCTGTACAATTGTAATAAGACTGTTATTGTTATATTCCAATTTTCTTGCAATAAAAGGCCAGTGTGACACTTGCCTTTCTAATTGTTTGGTGTACTGTATGCTGACTACTTGTGTTCCTTGCACAAGCACATGTCTTATCTGGACGCCATAGTTTTTCAAATTTCACACATTTTCAAAAAAGAATCTGTTTTACTTATCATAGTCAATAACTTCAATAACTGACATTAATCGTAACTTCTTACCGCCCCTTTTTATCCTTCATCTACTACTTTGTGACCCATTCAGTTCACCTGTCTGTATCTTTGCAGCCCCTTCATGCTGCTTTTGCAGCTTGCATTCCCACCAAGCTTTGTATCATCAGCAAACCTATGGTATAGTTCATTATATTGCAGTGTTAATTTCTTTACCCCTCTTTCCCGTGGAATTCTTCTTGCACTCTGTTGGTCCAAGTCATTATTATTGTTAATGATTATTGATGCCAAAGCATTGAATGTATTCAAGAGGCGACTAGATATAGCACTTGGGGCAAATGGGATCAAAGGTTATGGAGAGAAAGCAGGATTAGGCTGTTGAGTTGGACAATCAGCCATGATCGTGAAGAATGACAGAGCAGGCTCAAAGGGCTGAATGGCCTCCTCCTGCTCCTATCTTCTATGTTTCTATGTTTATAGATTGTAACTAGCTGAGGCCCCAACACTGAACATTGAGGCACTCCACTAGCCTGACTGCCAACTTGAAATGCCCCATTTATCCCCACTCTGCTTGCTGATCATTATCTATGTTAATATATCACACTCCCAAAATGCCATGAGCCCTTGTGGAGTAACCCAAATGTCTTAAATAGGTGTGTTAATCTGCTCATTCCTCATTATCTATAGTACTAGCTACATCCTTGAAACTCTCAATTTTTCAATCCGTATTCCCCTTTAAGGAGAACCATGTTGACTTGATCTAATCCATGTCATGCTGTAAGTTCACTGTGAAGACCTCTTCAGTAGATCTAGTATTTTCCCAACAACTGTCAGGCTAACTGGCCTGTCTTTTCTCTTTTTTTCCTTCTTCCTTGAATGTAATGTTTGGTAGCTTCCTATCTTTTGGGACTGTTCCAAAATCCAGGGCACTGATCTAGATATGTTAGATTGCAGGTTGTGGCTTCTGGAACAGTTGTCTAAGGCATTGAGTCACCTGAGAGGAACAGAAACAACAAATTGTATATACAGCACCTTTTAATAGTTTCCTTCCTGTTTTGTCCGATGTCCTATAACAACGAGAGTACATGAACACCAATTGGCTACAAAAAGACACGACCAATACTCGCTCATCTCAATCCACATGGACAAGGAGAACGACAACTTCGACTGGGACAACACCAAGATCCTGGGACAGGCTAGGCAGAGACAAGCACGAGAATTCCTGGAAGCATGGCACTCCACGAAGCAGGCTATTAATAAACACATTGAACTCGACCCCATATACATTCCATTATGGAGGAAACCCGGAAGTGAGGCAATCCATTGCAACGGACCCCAGAGTTTAAAAGCCAGGCAGGAAAACACACCGACGCTTCATCAGAGGCTGCACTGAGGATGTTACCAAGCACGGTAACAAAACATCTGTGGAACAACAAACCGGCTTGGGAAACCCTTCTGAAGAAGGGTCTAGACTCGAAACATCAGCTTTCCTGCTCCTCTGATGCTGCTTGGCCTGCTGTGTTCATCCAGCTCTACACCTTGTTATCTCAGATTAAACCAGTTGTCTGGCATACTGTTCAATATTCCAGTTGTCTATAAATTTTTAATTGATCTGTTTAATTTATTCAGGTGGTGAACGCTGTGAACACCAGCTTGTTTTCTGCTGTCGGAGAGGAGTTTAACACATTGAAACCCCAGCTTTGGGATGCTATTGATGAAGAGATTTGTCTGTCAGAGTGTGACATCTACAGGTAACCTGATAATAGAAATTACTTTCACACCAACTCTGCACGCCCCATATTCTTTCCTCACTTGGCCAGTTTTCCGAAGATGCTGGATGTAACACTTACAGTCATATGAGACCAAATCTAGGCTGAAACGTCACTGCTACAATATTACATTACCAAAGGTATTATCTTCTGGGTACCCTGGTCTGCTTCCAATGAATATAAAAATGTATTGCATTATTCAAAGAGCCGGAGAGTTTTTGTCGCACTCAACATTTTGCATTCACTAAATCCATCTTGCTTTTTTTGTCATTAAAAATGTGGCTTTTTTAAAATAAAGGTTTGTCTTGCACTAGAGACCTTTTACAAGAACAAATTTGGAATGAAAACCAACATCCGTCCTACATGACAGGAGATTGGCTGGCTAGTGAATTCTGATTGGTAGAGGTATTGCCATGGAGATTAATTCTGATTGACAGTTAATTGCCAGGCTTTGTTTAAATTTGCATCAGGTTGGTTGACTCTGGTCACAGTTTTACCTGATAAATGAACGACTGTTGCCTATTCTGAGTTGAAACAAGAAATTGTCCTGTCTGTGAAGAAGATGACCCTGTATATTAAAATTTATAGCTTCCAGGGTACACAAGTGTGCAGTACTACATGCCCACTCTACAAACCTAAATTGGCTGTCAGTGTAACTCCTTGCACATTCAGGATTATCAAGCAGTGCCAATACGATTCCTGATATGTAGGTTATGTTCCAAAGATGAGCAAATTGTATTGGTCACAATATCAGCAGTTGTTACAAGTGAGATACTAGGTATACCCAACCACTTGCAAAAAATGCAGTGCAATTGGACAGCATTTGCTGGATAATCCTGAATGAGGAATTAGTTTCAAATTTGGTTATCAGTGTAAGTCATTCTTACAGTGTAGTGCACATGTGTACAGGAAGCTGCATGCATTAATATAGCACCCTGTTCTTTTCAGACAGACAATGTGTTCAGCAGTATCGGATTTTCTTTTTTACTCTACAAAATAGGCAGCAGTCATTTCCTGGTTGGGGCACTACTTTATTTCCTAGGGCAATTGGTCAATCTGCTTGGTTTAACATTTTAGACAAAAATCCTGGCTGTTAACTGTCAATCGGTATTAATGGGTTCAGTCTCCATGGCATCTCTGTCAATCTGAATCTGCTTGCCTAAATTTCAAGATATTGCCTGTTTTAGAATTTGGATTTGAACTAGTGTCATGTAGGTTTTGGTCACTCTTCAGGGGTCAATGGTTAACTTGTACGTGTTTTTATGATCATGGTGATTTCCTTTTTTTCAAAAAAGGAGTCCATCTTCTTGGAGGCTAGTGAGAACTTTTCATAGTTGCTGCACATGACTAAACTGTGTCCATTAGACTTCAGTTTAGGAAGGTGTGAAAATTGTTATTTCTGGCTTGGGAAATGCCCATAGCTTGGAAAAGCTTTACAATTTCAATTTTTATAGAAGTCTTGGCTGAATGTGTAAAACAGTTTCTTCTAAGAAGGGAGATATTTTAGAACTCAATATAAGGAGTTTACTTATAAAGTTCCAAATCAGAAGTGTTTTATTAAAACCATGAAGGGATTACTTGAAGCTGAGTGTCTCGCTGATTTGTATGAAGAATCACAGAAGAGGCTATCAGATTCTCAAAACTGGGAATTGAAGCCACAATTAAGTCAAACACTGTGAAATAGCGAAGGCTATTTTCTTTGGCATTTGTAATAGGGTCGTGTTGGGATCAATGGAATTATATTTTTATCTAGCTTCAAATCTTTAAGTTACATGTAATTAGTTTGCTTTCTTCTATTATGGCTTCCCTTTTCATAAGCTTCTGTTTTGATAGAACCAAACTTGAAGCAATGATTGCATAAACTTCAGTGAGACCTGCTCATTAAAAATCATTTTTAAAAAAAAAAAATCAAGCCAGATATCAGTCTGGGACCTGACTTGCCCAGTAATAACATCAGCTGGAGTCATAACAAATTTGTGTTCTTGTGATAATGTCCTGATCAATGCAAAATTAAAATATTCTACAAAATGTCTTTTATTTTAGCAGTGTTCAAGTTTTGTACTGTCAAATGACTATTAAAAAATCTCTGACATTGACATTGAACAAAAACTCATTCGCTGTAATCTAGAATTGAACAGCAAGGCATGTTTTAAATCTGAAATCATAGGGCCAAGACTGGTAATCAAACTTTACTCTGTACTTTGTCTTGAGGTGTGGAAGAATAGCATGTACTGATCAATTGCACTGTAGTGAACTTCAGCTGTGCACCTGATCATTATTAGAACTTTGACATTTAACTTTATGTAAATCAATTTAGGGTTTTAATTGTGCACGGAATTTTTTCTAGCTACAATCCTGATCTGGACTCTGACCCATATGGCGAGGAAGGCAGCCTTTGGTCTTTTAACTATTTCTTCTACAACAAGAAACTCAAAAGGATTGTGTTCTTCACGTGCCGCTCTCTAAGGTATGAGTTTATTCTATTTGACATGCTGTCTGCTTACCTAATTCTAAGACTGACTGAACTGGCAGCTTGCTTCCTCGATCTGTTGCACAGATGAAGGAGTGAAGCTGACTAAAATTTGCAGAGATTGGATCAGGGTTTCACATCTAAACTGCTTGGCATGTTAGTCCTAAATCCCTGATAAATTTAGATGAAAGGCTAGTTGTAGATATCTTTTTTCTTTATTCATTCACAGCATGAGGTCGTTGCTGGCTAGGCAGTATTTATTGCCCATCCCTAATTGCCCAGAGGTCAGTTAAGAGTCAGCCACATTGCTGAGGATCTGGAGTCACATGTACACCAGACCAGATCAGGATGGCAGTTTCCTTCCCTAAAGGGCATTAGTGAACTAGATGGGTTTTTCCAACAATTGGCAATGGATTCATGGTCATCATTACACTCTTAAATCCAGATATTTTATTGAATTCAAATTCCATCATCTGCCATGGCAGGATTCGAAGCAAGGTCCCCAGAACATTATCGGGTCTCTCTGGATTAACAGTCCAGCAATAATACCACTAGGCCATCACCTCCCCCATAATGGGGCTTTTTGGTGATGCAGAGGCTGCGTGCTGCATTTAACTTTTCCCTTTTAATTTGTAGTGGTTACTTGTATAGTCAGGGCACTGAGACCAGCAACAACTTTGATATGGATCTGGAAGATGACACCCTCCTTAGTCAGGATGAAGATGAGGATGAAGCAATCGAAGAGACAAGGTTTGTTGGTGTCATGAGCTGTTTTACAAAATGTAGATGTTTGTCCTTTTTAGTGCATGATATCCCACTTTGTGTGAACTTCAAAGTTCCTATGGTCTGTTATAGTTTAAATTGGAAAAAAAAATTAACTACACAATGATCAGTGGTATTGAATACTAATACCTACACTCTCTCAAATAATTATGATGAGCACCATACTATAACCTGATCTTGCTAACTCTAACTTCTTTCCACGCCTTTTAACTTAGGACAAATGATGTAATAAGGCCATGAGACATAGAAGCAGAAGTTGGACATCCAGCCCACCCGACTGCTCCACCATTCGATTAGACCATGGTTGATTTGATGATCTTGAACTTCACTTGCTGCATAACTCTAGATTCCCTTGATGATTAACCAGTCTGTCTCAGCCTTGAATACACTTAGTGACTCGGCCTAGACAGCCTTCTGCAGTCAGGAATTCTGCTGATTCACTGAGTTCGGGGGGTGGTGGGGAGGTGGTGGGGGGATCCTCCTGAACTTGGACTGCTTCCACAAGTGGGAACAACCTCTCTGTATCTACCCAGTCAAGTCCTTTAAGAATCCTGATTGCTTCAACAAGGTCTCCTTTCATTACAAGCTCACTGTCTGCCAAGAAATTCCCTCCATACATGGGATTGACGTAGTGAGCCTTCTCTGGATGGTCCAATATCAGTGTCTTCCCTTAAATTAGGGAAAAGAAAATGTTCAGTATTCCAGCTATAGTTTAACTCTTGCTTTGTATAGTTTTAGCAAGACTTTTCCATCTTTAGTTCCCTTTGAAATAAAGCCCTCGACAATCTATTTGCCTTCCCGTTCGCCCTCAACTTGGCTTTTAGCATTTTGTGAATCATGCACTAGGGCCCTCAAAATCCATCAGTACAGCAGCTTCTGCAGTGTTTTTTCCATTTAAGTAATATTCAGTTCTTCTATTCTTTGTGTCAAAATACATAATCTCTCATTTTTCTGCATTAAAATCCATCTGTCAAATTATTTTCTCACTTAATCTGTCGAATCCTTCTGTAGACTGTCATGTTTAAACTCGGCAAAAGTGCATTCACTTCTTTCATCCTAGTCATGAATATATATTGTAAATTGTTGTGGCCCCAGGACAGATCCCCGTGGCACTCTATTAGTTACAGGTTACCTGTTTTGCTTTTTTTTTTTTGGGAGGCCTTCTGTTTATTTCTGGCAAGATTTGACATTCAAATCTCTTCCAGCTATTCCACAGTGAGTCCCAGTTCAGTACAGTTGTCATTAATGTGTACCCGTCTTGGGTCAAAACTTGTCATGATTCTAATTTTTTAACCTTTTTTTGGAGTGTTGCATCTAAATCCCTCTGTCCCCAGCTCCGCTATCTCTGGAAGCCTAATCCAATGGGTTCTTCATTTAATGAGACTGTTGTAGCGCACAAATGGAATTTCAAATGACTCTTAGAAAAAGATGTCTTCTGTTCTGCAACCAGATTTGTACAAAATGCCAAAATAAAGCACATTTGAAATGAAATTTAACCCCTATAATTTTGTTAATCTTTTGGGCAACCTGGTCATGTGATTATATACTGAAAGCCAGAAGAAAAACTCTTAAAATCCTAGTTTTTTCAGTGGCAGCATCAACTGTGCCTTCAGCTGCCTAGATTCCAAGCTCTGGAGTTGCTTCTCAATATTTCTCTGCTGCTGTACCTCACTTTCCTCTTATGACCATTCTTAAAATCTTAATGTCTGGCTCAGTTTTTCATTATCTGGCCTCATATCTTCTAATATGGTTCGGTGTTATACTTTGTTTTGGGGCATTTCAATGTTTTAAGGTGCTATTTAAATAAAAGTTGTTGATATTTCAGACCTTTTTATAAAGCTCTGATCAGACCACATTTGGAGTATTACATTCAGATCTAGTCACCATACTTCAGGAAGGATCTGAGGGTCACTTTTTAAGAGGGTGCAGAAAAGATTTACCCAGAATGGTTTAGAACACAACAGTCGAGCTAAAAGATTATTTTGGAGAAATGAGAGTCCTCATCCACGGAGTGAGGTGGATACTGAAGGAAGCAAGGTCTGAAATGAACAAAGTTATGAGCAAGGGAGGCAATGGCCTTGTGGTATTATCGCTAGACTATTAAGCCAGAGACCCAGGTAATGTTCTGACGACCCATGTTCAAATCCCAGTCCAGCAGATGGTGGAATTTGAATTCATTAAAAATCTGGAATTGATCCTTGTCGAACCCATCTGGTTTACTATTGTCCTGTAGATAAGGAACCTGCCATCCTTACCTGGTCTGGCCTACATGTGACTCTAGACCCACAGCAATATGTTTTACCCATCCCTAGTTGAGAGTCATAAATGCATCCCAGCCACCAATGCCCTCATCCCGTGAATGATTTTCAAAAAGAGTTAATAACAAAATACGCTTTGGAATCACACTGTCTATCTAGTTTTCCAGCAGATGCGTAAGTAGCCAATTTCATAGCTCCACAGTTGGAGTTTACTGGTGGTTTGGAGAAACTTCAGACTGGGGATGGGTTTATGCTTCAGATTTCTGTCCATTGACTCTCAAACTGATGTCCTGTGAGGACCAAGCAGTGCCATCTACCAGCTCAAATTCTGCTGGTGCTTGCATCTGAGCTGAAGGTATGCACATTAGTATATCTATACCTCAGCAGGGATTTGGCACCATTCTTTAGAGATAATAGTTAAGGGAAGGACAGTGTTGATTAATGTATAATAGCCTTTTCTCTTTTCTCAGGTACCAGGCAGTGTGCGTCTAAGCAATGAACACATCACCCACTCTTCAGCACCTTTGCTTCCTGTAACCTCCAAGCTGACTGCAAATGTATGAAGCTGAAAGACCAACGTGTTCCTCATTTTAATCTCAGGCATTTAAACTTATTTTTGACTTTGGTGCAGATCTGTTGGTAGACTTGGTGAGTTTCGAGAGTATTGCACCAGAAACACTCAGGAGGCCTTTGGTTTTTAAATGGCTGCCTCCTGTTTTTTGACCCAGGATTACCAGAGTGGATGAGTCATTGTAGCAGTTCTTTTTGACTCCATCGCTGACATTCATCTCTTGTTACATGTACTATATGGCATGTTTAGAAAGCCAAGTGAACAAACTGTTGTCTTATGTGAGAAGAAAGGATGAGTACACCAGTGTATTCCATGGATCAGGGTCAGCTTTGCACTTACAAGCTCTTGGCTGTTGTGAAGGATTTTGTTTTTTGGCATAACTGAACTCTGAAAATCAGCATACTGACAACTTCCTGGTGATTCCTGCAAAGTGCCCGACACCTCCCACTCTCCGTCAGCACCTGTTTGGTGTCCTGTGCTGCTGGTTTATAGCTGAGTATACTGATTGCAATGGACTAGATCAGGTTCTGCACCCCCAAGGACAGCTGATTAATAATCATCTTGTTTTGCTCTTAAAGTGCTTGTGCTCTCTTCTCCAATGCTGAAGTTTTTCCATCTCCCTTGCCCCTTTTTTTGAAAGACCATTGAACTATTCTGGTGGTTTTTCTTATTCAGCAGGCTATTGTCAATTAGATTTTTGCTGTTCCTCTATTCTGGTTCTAAATTGGAGCTTGCAATATGGCAGAGCCGACCACACACACTCACCCTATAAAGTCTTCTTTTAAGTTTATCTTTTGATTCACAAATATTGTATAAGCTTAAATGCTTTGCATATGTTAGAAGTATGTTTTTGATTTTTCTTGTAACCAGTAAGGGAAAAACTTTGATTTTGTGATGAGTTGAGGTCTGGCTTTTGCAATCTGTTATGAAACTCTCTGTATTACAAGGGGCTGAGGGAATATTTCCACTGGATTATGTCATCAGGCTAAAACTTTGAAAAATTGGCTCCGAGCACTTGTTGTAGAATTTCACTTCAATAATGAGTCTTTGGCTGAAGCTAGGCAGCAGTGATGGGATGGGACTTCACAACTGACCTAAATTTTAGTTGTTCCTCTGAACTTGATCATTCTATACCTGCTGTTGTCACTTCAGGAGGCATCAGTTTCCAATATCCTGGCATTCTCCATCTTTCTGCCTAGTATGATGTCATGGTTGTGTTCTAATATAAATCGGGTTTGATGCAGTCAGTATAAGGGCAGCACGGTGGTTCAGTGGTTAGCACTGCTGCCTTACAGCGCCAGGTACCTGGGTTTGATTCCACCCTCGGGCAACTCTCTGTATAGAGTTTGCACATTCTTCCCGTGTCTGTGTGGGTTCCCTCCGGGTGCTCCAGTTTCCTCCCACAGTCCAAAGATGCTCAGGCTAGGTGGATTGGCCATGCTAAATTGTCCCATAGTGACCAGGGATGTTTAGGTTAGGTGGGTTAGACATGGGAAATGCAAGGGTGGGGGAATGGGTCTGGGTAGGATGCTGTTTGGAGGGGTGGTGTGGTCTTGTTGGGCTGAATGGCCTATTTCCACACTGTAGGGATTCTGATTTTATGAACTGTTTCAAATTGCTTGGATTATACCAATCATCTTTGCATAAGGGGGGAGGAGTTTTGGGATAAAGGGAAGTGTGTTCAAATTCAAAACATTGTTTCTCTGTAGAGTAGGAGAGGCTTGAGGCTTCACCATGATTGATCATTGGGAGATACAATGCTTCCCATTTTCTGACTAGTCCGAATTAAAAGCTTGTTTGTTCTTTCTCTCCTGCCCGCACTGATCCCCCTTCTGAACCTCCCTTTCAAGTCTGAAATAATATGCCTTCTTTCTGAATGGTCCTTTCAAAAATCTGAGGTTCAAGGCAGTAGGAATGCAGGAATTGCAGCAGAAGTAGATCGTGGAACTTATCAAGCCTGCCTTCCCATTCAATATGACCATGCTAATTGTCTGCCTCCTCTACTTTCCTTACTACATCCCATATTTGTTATCTTGAATATATTCAATAAGAAAGCATCCACTATCCTCTCGGATAGTGTTCTGAAAAATTCACAATTCACCATTTTTACGGTCTGTGAGTGTCGACTGCCTGGGTTAGTAATCTAATTGCTGCACCGTTGTACTGCATAAGGCAGTGAATACTTCCTCTGCAATCCATTCCTTGCAGTCAGTCACTAAGTGTTCTCTCTATTTGAACTCAAGAAACTTAAAATTTGAATAAAGTTATACAGGTTGGAACAGGCACCTATTCACCCGTCAGCGATAAGTGAGATTGCCATTTTGTTGTTTTTCCTGTGCTTCCCTATCTTTTTTTACTCCTTAATGCTGCTTCACCTGTGAGTTTTGCTGAGATTCAGGAATTGAGAAGCCTGCAGTCTAGATACACCGTGCTTATGCACTTAACTGAACCCGTCTTCAGCTTTTTGTAGCTGACTTAGAAAATTTGCACTTTTCGTTTTGTATGCCTGGTTTATAGAATGTATAATATTTCTACAGCACTGTCAAAATCCTGAATGCTCTTGATATTAGAAGAGAAACACCGAACATTTGAGGCAGTCTGTTCACATGAAGTGCCAGAGTTGGGCTTGTTTAATATCTTTTATTAAAGTTGATCACCAGCATCGTTAAGCTTGTCCATTATGGCATCTTTCCATTGGGCCAATGGAAATGAGGACAAAGTGCACCATGTACGTTTAATGTAATCTTCAGGAATGACTCTGGTGTTTGTATAAAGCAATGTTAGGCTACTTCCTTGCATTGGCGATGGGGGAAGCTGATGTACAGACCTCCCCTAAGCTAACTTTCTAATGTGAGCCAATGTTTGTAAACCAAAACATATCTGATTGCTGTGCTTGTGATTTTTTAAAAATTTTGTCTACTGAGGTTCATTGTCAGAGATCAATACATAAGTTAGTCCATAGGAATTGCTAGATGGAAAAAAAAACACTGCAGTCTGTCTAGTTTACCGTTTTTATTTGACTATCTTGCTAGTTAATGACATAATTATAATGGAGCTAGTGACCAGTCAGAGCAATTGAATCTGCAACTGATCCAAATGGGAGGTGAGTGATAGTGTTTTTGGGAGCTGTAGGTCCAGAGGCTCTTGTTCTCCCCAAGCACACTGTACACACCCAGTCACATCCTGAGTTGGGCAGTGAACCAGCAGAAGCCACAATATAAGGGACGAGTGGCACACTTTGAAGTTAAGCCGCATTCCTCTTTTGGGTAACCCTGGACATTGGCTACATTAAAGAACTTCCCAGTCTTGTTTTTTGATCCCTCGAAAAAAAAGGTTTGTCCTGATTAAAAGGATTGGTTGGTTCTAAATGAGACCAGAGTGTTCCGGTGCCTCAATCTAAAGAGTGATTGTAAACATAGACTCCAAACTGTACCAAAAAGCTTGAATTGATTTTTCTCCAGTTTGCCACCCTTCGACTCAGTTTGTAAGCTGTCTTGCTGTTGAGTCAGAAGCTCAAGGGTTTGAACCCCGCCCTAGTTGTCTAACCTTGGGTCAATGCTGAGAGGGTATCACTCAGTCAGAGTTCGTCCTGAGACATTACCGCATTATCTTTTTGTTAATGTGAATCCAAGATGCCAGCTACCTCCTGGCTAGATTTCAAAGATCCCTTGCCATATTTCAACAGGTGTGAGGATATTCTAGTGTCCTGGACAATAAGCATCCCTCAGGCAAAAAGTTACCTCGTCTTTTACCTCCTTGTTTGGGACTTTGTGTACAAGTTGGTTGACATTTCCCTAAATTACTAGTGACCCAATTTTTGAAAAATGCACTTAACAGGTTCTTCACTTGAATCGGAAATAGAAGGAATGACTTCAACCTGTCCTCAAATGGGCATTCTGTAACTGAAGTGAATGAAGCTATTTGCCAGGTCAGGCCTTGGAGCAGTTTGATATTATCCATCGATCACTTTTTAAGGGCAGGTGGATCCACCTCAGTATTGGGCTGAGATCATCGTACTCCTAGTGTTGTACCTTAAGGTGGTTCTAGTACATGTGCTATATTGAAAGGCCAAAGGGATGTCTTGGAGGCTACCCCCCCACCCCCCCAAAAAAAAAGACAAACAGCAAGCGTCCCTTGCAAATATTGGTTTTCTTCATTATCGACACTTGTGGGATACAAGCTACAGATTAGGTTTAGGTCTCCTTGAGACTCTATTGAAATTGGGGAAAATTAAAATCTTTCAGTGTTGAGCTCCCACTGTTGACACTGCAGCGTATCACTGTGCAAGTCTATGCAAACTGCAACCCTGTCTTGTGAACCAAGCAACAACCTGTCTAACCATCTGAGGGTGAAAGGTGCTCAAAGTATCTATTCTGTAAGGCCACCAGCTATTAGATATTAAAAGTAAAAACTTTGTAATGTATGATTCATAATCTTATGAGGAGGATTAGTACAGAAAGAGGAAACATTGGTTCTACTGGCAAGATGGTTGGTGACCACACAGCAAGAATTATAATTTGGTATAGTTAGCAAAGAGGGATGGGGTCTTTGTATGCAATGATCTAAAGTCAACTGTCACAAAAGTATGGTGGAAACAGATTTAATAACTTCTCAGAAGTCCCCTACTTAAGAAGTGGTTGCAAGGTAATTAGACTATTTGGTAACATCTGAGTGCTGTATAGGCTTGCTGGAGTGAATAGTCTCCTGTGCTCTAATTCCAGAATAAGCGGGTTTAAATAGTCTGATTCTCAATCTAAGATTTTCACCTTTGAAAGACAGTAGCCACAATGCACCAACTCTTATTAAAAGGATGGAAAATTGTGTCTGGTTTTCTTTATTGCACTGATTATTTAAGGGCTGTGTCACTTACTCCATGTACAACATTTTAAAATTCTTGTGTTGATTTTCTCTGTTTTACTCTGGTCTTTTCACACAACAAATAAAACATGCTTTGCTTGGCAATTGGGAATGGTGGCCTTCTTTAGTGAAAGATTCGATCTCTTAATTTCAAAGAGAACCGACCAGATTGTTGACTTGTCCGTTACAAAGATAGACAAGTCAGGAAATTAGGGTAAATTCTTTTTGTAAATCTCTGGGTCTCATTAGTCAGTTTTGGGCACTACACTTTAAGGAAGAAGTCATATCCTTAGAGAAGGCGCAGAGGAGACTTACTAAAATGGTACAGGGGTGGGGAGACTGGAGGGGCTGGGACTGGTTTCTGGAGCAGAGCAGGCTAAGAGGAATTGGTAGAAGTGGCCAAAATCATGGGTATAGAGCAATTAGGACAAAACTGGTGGGAAGTTCAGTAACCAGAGGGACACATGTTTGAAGTGGCTGACAGAAACTGCAGAGAGATAATTGAAAGTAGAGAGGGAACAATTTACAAAAGGGAATTGGATAAATAGAAAACTAATAAAATTCTGTGACAAAATTTAAAATGTGGGAGGAAAAGGGTAGAGAAGTGTGAATAAATAGTTTTAATTAAGCATGCATTTGATTAAGAAAGAAAGACTCAGTGTCTTGGGTCTTGTGGTTAACTAAAGGAAAAGATGTACAATGCACAGTGGTCGGGCAGAAGGTTTGGGGAAATTTTTATACACCAGTAATGGGTGACCTAATGAAGAGGAAGAAATTGGATTGTCTTAGAAAAATGCAGCATCTCAGCAGGAGTTCCTCTGGGCAGTGACCTCCGTTCATCCATCTTCAGCTGCTTCATAAATTAACCTTCCCTTCATTGTAAGCCAGGACTTGTTCACACACACGGTGTTTCGTATGTGGAATGAACTGACAAAGGAATTTTTAAAAAAATACATTCATAAGTATGTTGCTGGCCATCACCAATTGCCCAGAGGGCAGTTCAGAGTCAACCACATTGCGGTGCATCTGGAGTCACATGTAGGCCAGACCAGGTGAGGATGGCAGTTTCCTTCCCTAAAGGACATTAGTGAACCAGATGGGTTTTTCAACAATCAACAGTTGATTCATGGTCACCATTAGATTCCTAATTCCAGATTTTTAAAAAATTGAATTAAAATTCCACCACCTGCTGTGGTGGGATTTGAAACCGTGGTCCCCAGAACATTATATGGGTCTCTGCAGTAATAGTTCCAGTGTTAATATCATGGTGGTAGATACTGATGCAGTTATCCCATTTAAAAGAGATTTGCACAAATACATGAACAGGAGAGGTTTACAGGGATATGGGCCAAATGCAGGCAAATGGGTCTAGAAAAGTTTGAGAATCCTGGTTGGCATGACTGAGTTGGACCAAAGGGTCTGTTTCGTGCTGTATGACTCTGTTGCAAGTGGAGGTGTCCATCGATGATTTTTCAATGTTACACCATTTGTAACTCAGGCGCTGAAGCAGTCCATGTCCAAATGTAGCAAGACCTGCACAATATCCAGGCTTGGGTTGAAACATGCCGAGTAACATTCATGCTGCACAAATGCCAAACAATGATCATTACCTCCAACATGAGAGAATCTATCTATTGCCCCTTGACATTCAATGGCATCACCATCGCTGAATTCCTCCTGCATCAACATCCTGGGGGTTAACTTTGACCAGAACTCAATTTGACTAGCCATATAACTACAGTGGCTACAAAGCAGATCAGAGGCTAGGTCAGTACTCCCCAGATATATTCCTTCTATGACCCCATTTTGAAGTTTGAAAATTCTTGTGATCTTCATTGAGCACTGAAAGTTGGAGGATAGCTGTACAGCTCACCAGCCCCAAATTTCAACTCGTAATTTGTAATGCCTCTTAAGAAGCCTTAGGTTAGGAATCCTGCGGCAAGTAACTCACCTCCTGACTCTCCAAAGCCTGTCCACCATCTACAAGGCACAAATCAGGAGTGTGATGGAATACTCCCCACTTGCCTGGATGGGTGCAGCTCCAACAACACTCAAGAAGCTTGATACCATCCAGGACAAAGCAGCCCACTTGATCGGCACCACATTCATAAGCATCCACTCCCTCCACCACTGACGCTCAGTAGCAGCAATGTGTATTGTCTACAAGACGCACTGCAGAACTTCACAACCACTTCCATCTAGAAGGACAAGGGCAGTAGATAAATGGGAACACCACTACCTGCAAGTTCACCATCCTGACTTGGAAATATCACAGCTCCTGAAATTTACTTCCTAATGGCACTGTTGTTCTACCTACATGACATAGACTACAGCAGTTCAAGCTTACCATCACCCGCTCCAAGGTAACTAGGGATTGGTAATAAATGCTGGCCCAACCAGTGGCATTATCTTCCATAGATGAATAAAAGACTTGCATTCATTGGAGGTTGGATATATTTTCAGGAATCAGGAGATGATTTGACCTCCAGGATGTTAACAGTGCGATATTCAGCAATTGTAATGCTGTTGGACAGGAAGAGGAGCTGATTAGAATCTCTCTTGTTCCTGATGGCCAGTGCCTACTTGTGTGCACAACTTTTCCATTGTTTGAGGACATACAAATGAAACTAAGTGCTCTGCAATGATCAGTAAAAATCTTCCTTCACTGTCACTGGGTCAAAATCCTGGAATTTTCCCCCCTTAAGGGCATTGTGAGTCAAACTATAAATTAGTGATGATAGACACTCCAACTGGGCTAGGACAGGAATGTAAAGTGTGCCACTGATGTGGTGGAAGTATTTGTGGTTCGATGTTTGTCCACTTGATATAAACACTCACTCCCTGGTAGAATCGTAGAACCCCTACAGCATGGGAGCAGGCCATTCGGCCCATTGAGTCCACACCAACCCTCCGAAGAGCGTCCCACCTACAGACACCCCACAGTCCTGGAGTGGAAGCCTGAGGTTGTACCTTGGGGACCTTCACCACAGTATCTGCAAATGGTTAGTCGATGGCAACAGAGAAATGGCTCAAACCAGCATTAAGTTGTGTCAACCCCTTGATGTATCAGACTCACTGCACCAGAGAATGAGATAGTAGGAACTGCTACTTTCTGAAGAAGGGTCTGTACCCGAAACGTCAGCCTTCCTGCTCCTCTGATGCTGCTTGGCCTGCTGTGTTCATCCAGCTCCACACCTTGTTATCTTAGCACCAGAGAATGAGCTGTTGTGCTGAGCTGGGCCATTTTCAGGTGTTCAACTATAAATGGGGCCTTGCTCAGTTTTGGAGCCCAGGGTTGGTCCCCACTCCCCTGGGGTCTGGATGTGGCCGGAATGGCCTCAGGACAACCCGGGGCTGCCCTTTCCCCCCCCCCATCCCCACAAAAAAAAAAATCAACCGTCAAATGGGAATGTTCCTGACCAGGGGCGGCTCGGCTTTAAGCGGGAGCTGGCGTCCCGGTCTCCCAGCAACCGTCACCACGGAGACAGCAGCGTCCCTCCGGGGAGGATACAGGCGCTAGTTAGAGAAAGGTTGGGCACTAGTTAGTGACAGGTCGCACGAGGGAACTGGTGGGTTAGTCAGCGGCTAGCGGGAGGAGGTGGGGGGGGGGCCTGGTTAGTGGGTAATCGCTAGTTAGCAGCTAGTTACTGACGCGAGTTAGTGCGCAGCTGTGGACTAGTCACTAACCTGTTAACCGCTGGTTAAATGAGGAGCTGGTTAAACATTAGTTATTGTGAGCCTGGACCATAACTAGTGTAAAGTTAACGATTTGTAACCCAGCTGCTGGTTAGTTAATGATAAGAATGTGTTACTAACTGGTTAAACATTAGTTACTGAGAGGTTATAGGCTGGTTAGTGAACAGTTT